CCGTGCAGGAGTTCGGTTTCTATCCCTTTCAGGCCCGTGCCGAAGTCGTCAGCGAGCCCCTATCCTGCCGCCCGTGCAGCACCAAGGGCTCGCGGTATTGTCCGCGGGGCCATCACGCCTGCATGCAGGACATCTCAAGCGCCCGCGTGCTGGGCGCGGCCAGAACCATGTGGGAGAGCGGCGCCGCATGATCAGACTACTTTTCGAAATCGGACATTTATATCATCGCGCTGCTATCGACCCGCTTTACCATGCGTTTCGTCAAGACCCACGTTACGACATCGCCTTCGTCTGCCCGAACGACGCCGAGCGCCGCTTTGGCCTGTTCAACCGCTCGCTCCGTCGGGACCTCGAAGCCCGTTTTCGCGCCGAGGGGCTGACGATTGCCGATGACACCCGCGGCTTCGACGCCGTCATCGTGGGCGATACGGTGCGCGACCCGAAACGTTATGGCTCCACTCTGTTGTGTTTCGTCAACCATGGTACCGGGATCAAGAACATCCTGTATCGCAGCCTGCGTCGGCAGCCCCACACCCGTTACCAAATCTTTGTGGAGGGCGATTACCGGGTCGACAAAATTCGGCAGGCGAACGCCTTGGGGGCATCGACGGTGCACAAGGTCGGCCTGCCGAAGCTCGACCCGCTGTTCGGGCCGGATAAGCCGTCGCGCAGCGATGTTCTGTGCCGCCTTGGCCTTGATCCTGCTAAGCCAACCGTGCTGTTCGCGCCCACCTACAAGCCGAGTTGCATCGATATCGTCCGCGAGCGCATCCTGTCCGAAACACGGCGGTATAACCTGATCATCAAGCTGCATCAATACAGTTGGCGCGGCAAATACGCCCCGCATTGGCACCACAGGCTGTACCAACGCGCCGTGAAGGCGTTCCCGCACGCCGTCTTGCTACCGGTGGATGACTACAACATCGTGCCCTACCTGCACGCCTCGGATACGCTGATCAGTGAGGCATCGAGTACCCTGTTCGATTTTCTGGCCCTTGACAAAACCGGCATCATCTTCGTGCTTCCCGACGCCGGCATGCGCCATCACGACGGCGAGCCCCTGCTGGGCGAAACCATGCAGGACTTCCTCACGGGCGCCTTCTTGCACATCACCCGCCCCGATGAGATTGGCGACGCCGTAGCCGACGCCTTGCGGGATGACCCGGAGCGCCAGCAGCGTTCCCAGGTTTACCGCAACTACCTGTTCCACGGTCTTGACGGACACGCCTCGCAGCGCACCAAGGCGGTGATTGAGCACCTGCTCGACGAGGGCGCCCACGCCAACCTGCCGTGATGCCGGCACCCAGTGCCACAAAGCCTGTAAACGTTGTCCTTACAACGAATTCCAGTACAATTGGGAAGCTGCGAAAAACGATATGTAAGTGGAGACAGACGACACGATGGACGAAAAGACATCAATCATTAGCGAGCGAACATCCATCGACTTGGCGGAAACCCTCTCTCGCCTGCACGAGGTGTGGACGTGCTCGGATTTTCAGGCTGCCGCACGGCAGCACGCCCGCGGTAAACTGACCGTCCAGGAGAAAATCGCCTGCCTGTTCGATGCCGGAACCTTCACGGAAGAGCACGCGCCCAGCCCCGACCTCGATCCGCGGCACGGCGAGCGCCGCTTGCTTACCGGCTGCGGCGATATGAACGGCCGGCCTGTCGCTGTGGCTATCTTCAACTCTGCCATCGCTGCCGGCGCGGTCACCATCTCCACCGGCGACAAGCTCATCAAGCACATGCAGCTCGCCGAGCGACGGCGCTGCCCGCTGCTGATTGATTGGGATTCCGGCGGCGCCGACATCAACGAAGGCGTGGCCTCGCTCGACATCTTCCGCAAGATTTTCACGCAGATCAACGAGCTCTCCGGCCGCATTCCTATGCTGTCCATCCTGTCCGGGCTGAACGCCGGCGGCGGCGCCTACGCGCCCGTGATGACCGACACCGTCATCATGATCGACGGCAGTATGATGGCCGTCACCGGGCCGCAGGTCATTCGCGTGGCCACCGGCGAGGATGTGACGCCGGACGAAATGGGCGGCGCGCAACTGCACAGCGAGCAATCCGGCGAGGCGCATTACCGGGTTGCCACCTATGAGGCGGCGGCGGCCTTGGCGCGCAAGTGGTTCTCGTACCTGCCGCAGAGCATGTGGTCCCTGCCGCCGCGCGCCGCGTCGTGGGAAAAGCGCGGCGTGCCTACCGACTTGCGGGCCATCGTGACGCAAGCGCGGCGCAACGCCCGTCTCAAGCGCAACGCCACCTGGGACGTGCGCACGTTCATCGAAGCGGCGGTCGACGACGACTCGTGGTTTGAATACCACGAGAAATTCGCCACCTCGGCGGTCATTGGCTTGGCGCGCATCGCCGGCATCGCGGTTGTGGTTATCGCTAATCAGCGGCAGGTGCTGGGGGGTTCCATGACGGCGGCCTCGTCGTCCAAGGTCACGCGCATCCTGAAGCTGGCGAACGCCTACCACCTGCCCGTCATCACGCTGGTGGACGTGCCGGGTTTCATCGCCACGCAGGCGGAATCGGTGGGCCAGATCCTGTCCAAAGGCGCCGGGCTGCTGATGACCTATCCCAACCTCATGGTGCCGCGCATTTCGGTGGTCATCGACAAAGCGTTCGGCGGCGCCTATTGTGCGATGGACAGTTACTCCACTTCCGTTCGTTCCAGCCTATCTCGCCACTATGGCTTCACCACCGGACAAATTGCTGTGCTCGGCAAGGAAGCGGGGCCGTTTTTCACCTACGGTCCGGACGGCGGGGACGCGGCCGTCAGGGAGCAGCATCAGGACCGCTACGAGAATGAGTACCTCAACATGAACCGCGCCTATGGGGACAAGGACGAGGACATCCTCGTCGAACCGCTGGAGCCCGAAGCCCTGCGCCCGTGCCTGGTCGCTGAACTGCCGCCGTTATACGACGCCTACCAAGCGTATTGGCAACGCCTGATTAGCGACCTCGATCGGGTACGCGAGGAATGCCCGGACCTGTTTACCGAACTGCGTCACGGCGCCCTGCGCGGCCTGATTCATCCCCTGTGAGGCTTGCACGCTACTGGAGAATTTCCGTATCGGACAGTGTAGTGGAATGTCGGATTACGCTTCGCTAATCCGACCTACATCTTGATACGGAAATGTTCTGGAAAGTAACGCTCTCTTTTCCGGCCTCGTTTTCCTGTTATACCGTGGCTCTCCGACTATTCCGGAGCCGTCTCACCAGCGAGGAGATTGCCTGTGCGATTGATACCGCGACTGTTCATCCTGACCGTGGCCGCCGTCGTGTCGCTTGTGTCCGCGGCCGCTGGCGAGCGGGGTGCCGACGGCCAGTTGAAAATGCTCTACTGGCAGGCGCCGTCCATCCTGAACCCGTTCCTGTCTGGCGGGACCAAGGACGTCCACGCGGCTTCACTGGTTCTGGAACCCCTGGCGCGTTACGACGAGAACGGCGAGATGGTTCCGGCGTTGGCCGCGGAGATTCCAACCGTTGAGAACGGTGGTGTTTCGGCGGACCTTCTGTCCGTCACCTGGAGGCTGCGAGACGACGTGGTGTGGTCGGACGGCAGTCCGTTCACCGCTGCGGACGTTGCGTTCACCGCGGCCTATTGCATGGACCCCGAAGGCGCCTGCAGCGGCGCCAGCCGGTTTCAGGACGTGGAGGCGGTCGAGGCGGTGGACAGCCACACGGTGCGCATCACGTTCAAGGTTCCCATGCCGTTCCCCTACGTGCCGTTCGTCGGCTCGGTATCGCCGGTCATCCAGGAAAAGCAGTTCGCAGCCTGCACGGGCGCGAGGGCGCCGGAATGCACCGAGCAGAATTTCGGCCCGGTCGGCACCGGTCCCTTCAAGGTGGCCGAATTCCGTCCGAATGATATCGTCCTGTACGAAATGAATGACCGGTACCGCGACCCCGACCAGCCGGCCTTTTCCTCGGTTCTGCTCAAGGGCGGCGGGGACGCCGTTTCCGCGGCACGCGCCGTGCTGGAGACCGGCGAATTCGACTACGCCTGGAATTTGCAGGTCGAGCCCGAAATTCTCGCCGCCATGGCTGCGGCGGGCCGGGGCGAGGTGATCTCGGCCTTTGGCAGCATGGTCGAGCGCCTGGTGGTGCAACTCACCAATCCCGACCCGGCGCTGCGCGATAAACGGTCAACTTACCAGGACGGCGCCAATCCCCACCCGTTTCTCTCGGATGCGGCGGTGCGGCGGGCGCTGTCGATGGCGATCGACCGGGAAATCCTGGTCGATGCCGGCTACGGGACTGCCGGACGTGTGGCCTGCAGCGTGGTGCCGGCGCGGCGGTCTACGTCTCGACCGCCAACGACTGGTGCCAGACCCAGGACGTTGCGGGCGCCAATAAGCTGCTCGACGATGTCGGTTGGGTGCGCGGCGCCGATGGCATCCGCGCCAAGGACGGCGTCCGGCTCTCGATCCTTTACCAGACCTCGACCAATTCCGTGCGCCAGGCCACCCAGGCGCTGATCAAGCAGATGTGGCGGGAGATCGGCGTGGAGACCGAGTTGAAGAACATTAACGCGTCGGTGTTCTTCGGCGGCGACCCGTCCAGCCCGGACACCTACCAGAAGTTCTACGCCGACATCCAGATGTAGACCAGCAGCTTCGACGGCACCGACCCCCAGAACTACATGCAAAGCTGGATATGCGCCGAAGTCCCGGGCCCCGAGAACCAGTGGCTCGGCCAGAAACATCCCGCGCTACTGCGACGCGGTATACGATGAGCTGGCGAGGTCGCTGTCCAAGACCGCGGGGATCGAACAACGCGCCGCGATTGCCAGAGAGATGAACGACAAGTTGATCGGCTACGGCGCGCTGATCCCGCTGGTCCATCGTGGTGAGGTCGCCGCCAGGACGTTGTCGCTCGGCGGCGTCCGGCACAACGCCTGGGACGCTACCGTGTGGAACATTCAGGAGTGGCACCGCCGGAAATGACGCGGCCCGTCCCCCGTCCCATCGAGCGCGCGAGGCAAGTCCATGCTGAGATATGCGGCCCGGCGCCTGCTGTTCTCGATCCCGACGCTGCTGGTGATCAGCTTCATCGTGTTCGCCCTGCTCGACTTGGCGCCGAACGATCCGACCGCCCAGCTTCCACTGACGATTCCCCCGGAGACCCGTCAGGCCATCCGCGAGAGTCTTGGACTCGGACAGCCGTTCCACGTCCGCTATTTCAAGTGGCTGACGCAGTTCATGATCCATGAGCCGCTCAACCTGGCCGAGCGCATGTGGGGGGTTGAGATCGGCGATTCCGAGGGGCGCCTGCGCGTGCGCTCCTGGTCGACCCGCGCGCCGGTCGTGGACCTGATCGCGGCCCGGCTGCCGCAGACCCTGACCGTCGTCGGCGTTTCCTACCTCGTTGCGGTCCTCATCGCGGTTCCCGTCGGCGTCTTCTCCGCCTACCGGCAGTACTCGATCTTCGATCACGTCGGCACCTTCGTCACCACGGTGGGCTTCTCGGTGCCGACCTTCTTCACGGGAACCGTCCTCATCGTGGTGTTCAGCGCCACGCTCGGCTGGCTGCCGTCGATCTACGACACGACCCACCGGGTGACAGATTTCGACAGCTTCGTTTACCAAGTCAGGCAGATGGTCATGCCGGTGATGGTGCTCGGGCTTTACAACGCGGCGCAACTCAGCCGCTTCACGCGCTCCGCGGTCCTGGACAACCTCAACCAGGAATACGTCCGCACCGCCCGCGCCAAGGGGCTGACGGAACCGGTCGTCATCCTCGTCCACGTGCTCCGCAACAGCATGATCCCGGTCGTCACCGTCATTGCGCTGGGGCTGCCGTCGACCTTCGCGGGGGCCATCATCACCGAGCAGATATTCCGTATCAACGGCGTCGGCCAGTTGTTGATCGGCGCTATCGAGAGCGCCGACATCCCCACCGTGCAGACCGTGACGTTCATCTTCGCGGTGCTGATCGTGGGGTTCAATCTGGTGGCGGACCTGCTGTACGGGGTGCTGGATCCGAGGATTCGCTATGACTGACGCCGCACCGACCCTTGGAGCACAGCACCGCTCGCTGGCGCGAGATGTCTGGCAGCAATTCTGGCGCCATAAGGGCGCGCTGGGCGGCGCGGCGGTCTTCACCCTGATTGCCCTGGCGGTGCTGTTCGGGTCCGTCGTCCACGGTGTTGATCCGCAATACATCGACTACAAGGCCAAGAACCAAGGCATGTCGCTCGCCCACCCGTTGGGCACCGACAACCTGGGCCGCGACATGTTCGCCCGGGTGCTGGCTGGCGGGCGGCTTTCGCTTGCGGTGGGCGTCGCCGCCATGGCGCTGTCGCTGACCCTCGGAACCTGCGTCGGCGTCTTGGCCGGTTTCTTCCAGCGGCTCGACGGCCCGCTGATGCGGCTGACCGATCTCTTCCTGGCGCTGCCGGTTCTGCCACTGCTGCTGGTCAGCATCATGCTGTTCCGCGATCCGCTGCGCTCCGTCCTGGGGCCGGAGATCGGCATTTTCGTCCTGATCGTGGCCGTCATCGGCATCACCAGCTGGATGCAGACCGCGCGCATCGTTCGCGGCGAAGTGCTGGCGGTCAAACAGCGGGAGTTCGTGCTCGCTCCGCAGCGTCGGCACGCGATCGCATCGGATCATCACGCGGCACCTCCTCCCCAACGCGCTGAGCCCGATCACGGTTTCCGCCACGCTCGGCATCGCACAAGCGATCATTACGGAAAGCGCCTTGAGCTTCCTCGGTCTCGGCTTCCCGTCCGATTTCCCGACCTGGGGCCGGCTGCTGTACGACGGCGTGCCCTTCCTCGGCCTCACGCCGGCGCGGGTGATCTGGCCCGGCTTGGCCATCTCGCTGACCGTGTTGAGCATCAATTACATGGGCGACGGCCTGCGCGACGCCATGGACCCGCGCGTGCGACGACGCTGAACTTGCCGTATGCTGAACTTGCCGTATGATGTTTAGGCCGTAGAACTATTGACGTGGAGAGCGATGTGATGGCCAATCCGAAGGTTTCTTTTGTCATAGAGGGACCGGACGAAAACAACGGCCACCTGGAGTTGTCGGTATTTGTCGAGAAAGTCAGACATTTTCTTGACATGCTGAACCGGAGCACCAGGGAAAGCGTCGAAGAGGGGATTGTATTTCACGTTGTTCATCTCTCTCACTCCAGTCCTGCGACCGTAGAGTGTGTGCCAAAAGAAAGCAATATGGCATCTGCCACTATAGCTGTTCAGTCGATTGGCAAGAATCTGATGGATGTAAAAACGGAAGACTCCCATCATCTTTCTCACACCGTTTTGTCTTCTATGGAACAACTCGCGAACTTCAGCCTCACCAAAATCGCTCGCGCTGAAGTCCGAATTATGGAAGGTGATAATGACATCGAACAGATTTACAAGTTGGACGACAAATTCAAAGAACAATTAAGCCGTGCCCGGCATCAGGAAGACAGAGTTATCAGCACGATTGACGGAAGACTTGAGCAGATTAACATTCACAACAATGTGAACACGTTTCGGATTTATGCGTCAGTGCCTGCTTCTTATTCCGTCAATTGTGGGTTCCCGCCGAATTTACTTGAAAACGTACAGAGTTCCCTGGGGTCTTTTGTTTCCGTTTTCCGGTGAATGCTTTTATCGCCCCGACGCGCTGTTTCCATACAAAATAAACGTTCAAGATATGAGGATCCTGCCGCCGGCAGAAGAACTGCCCACCCTGAGTGACCTTTACGGGCTTGCTCCCGGCGCAACGAGCGGCAAATCTTCCGAACGGTTCGTAAGAGAACTGCGCGATGCATGGGACAAGACGGACCGATGAAGGATGATTTGATCTGCTGGGACTCGTCGGTTTTGATCAGTTGGCTTCGCGGTGATGAAGATGCGGACAGAAACCGGGCCACTCATGCCGTTGTGCAATACATTGAAAGCGGGGGCTTCCAAGCTGGTCGTTTCCACTCGTTTGACGACCGCTTGCTGCGTCTCAACGGAGACGACGAAGTGGATGGTCTTGCCATAACGGCCTGCGAAATTCCCGGAATGAATCTGCCCTTGTCTTGACCACTCGCCAATCGACTTCCCTGCCTACCAACGGATATTGCAGGCGTTGACAACTGGACCCCACTCACACCCTTTTCCGGAAACAACACCCGATGTCTTCACCCTTAACATCCCCGGAGTACCCGCGCCCTGCCATGTCGGTTGAGGCGATGCGCACGCTGCTGATCTGCCGCGGACCCATCGCTTTTGAGACCCTGGAGGTGTATCGCCGGCGAGGCTGGCTGCTACCCCACGTTGTGGTGTCGTCCAAGGAATGGATCGCCGACGGGCGCTGCGCCGCGCCGTGGATCGCCGACCTGCCGGCCGACCACGTTCACTATGTACAGGAATACGACGACGTTGAGGCTATCCTGTGCATTGCCGCTCAGCACGGCATTGACGCCATCTATCCGGGCTACGGCTTTCTGGCAGAGCGCGCCGACTTTGCCGCGCGTGTCGAGGCGGCCGGACTGCGCTTCATCGGCCCAACGGCGGACACCCTGCGCGCCGTCGGCGACAAAGATGCGGCCATCGCGCTGGCCCGACAGTTGGATATTCCCACCATTCCCGGCGACGACGCGCTGGTCGGTTTTGCGCGTTCTGCGGGCCCGGCCGCCATTGCCGAGGAGACGGTGCGCCGCACGCTCGAAATGGCGGCGCAGTATCCTGGGTATCCCATTCGCCTCAAGCATCCGGGCGGCGGCGGCGGCAAGGGCCAGCGAGTGCTCAGCGCCGAGGAACTGGATGGTCCGCGGGCGGCCGACGTCATCCGCGAGGCGCTGGCCAAGGTGTGGTCGGAGATGGGCGTTTCGCCGCCGGAGGCCGACGCGCGCAAGGGCGTGCTGATCGAGCTCAACATCCCGCGCCCGTTGCACTGGGAGGTGCAGATTTTCGGTGACGGCGAAACCGTCGTTCACTTCGCGGCCCGCGACTGCTCGGTGCAAAATCACGGCTACCAGAAGTTCATCGAAATGGCCCTGCACCCGCAGGCCATCGCCCATGAGATACAACACCTCGATCGCAAAGCCGACGCCGCTCGCATCGACAGTCTGTGCCGCCGCCGGCAAACTCTGGAGCGCATTTGTGCCGATGCTCAACGTTTGGGCCAAGCGGTGCAGTTGCGGGGCGCGGCGACCGTGGAGTTTCTGGTGGATGAGCAGGGCGAGCCGTACTTTCTCGAAGTCAACCCGCGCATCCAGGTCGAGCACGCCGTCACCGAAGGCATCGCGCGCGTGCGCGATGAGCCAATCAGCCTTGTCGAGATGCAGCAGCGCGTGGCGGCGGGGGAGCGGCTGGCATTCGACCAGCGGGACATCACCTGCGTCGGCGACGCCATCGAAGTGCGCCTCAACGCTTGGCACGAGGATCTCAACCCGGTGCTCGGCGGTGTCGTTCATGCCTTGCGCTGCGACCTGCCGCCCGAGCTCGGCGCCCACGTCCGTATCGACGCCGGCGGCTTGCAGGCGCGCCGGCAGCCGTGGGTCGTTCCCAGCTATGATGCCAATTTCGCCCTGATTATCGTCCACGGGGCCGACCGCCGCGAAACCCTGGACCGTCTCATCAGCGTCTTGCAGGACGGCCTGGAGGTGCGCGGGGACGACGCGTTGCAGACCAACCTCCAGCCCATTCTGGGACTCGTGACCCTGATGCGGGCATTGCCTGCCGAGACCGCCTTCCGCACCGATACCAGCCTCCTGTGGATGGCCCTCACGGCCATCGTTGAGGCACAGAAATCGGCCGTGCTGGCGCGCGTTCCCCGCTACCCGCGTCGTCCGACGCCGAACCATCCGGCTCTCGTTGCCCGCCTGTTGGGCGCCACGCTGGAAGCCGGCTTCGCCCATCCCAGCCGATTGCTGGCGTTCTACCTGAAGCGTTTGACGCAGGCGCATCAGCGCCCGCTGACGAACCTCGAGGTGCTCTGGCAACTTGCCGCCGAGCTGGACGTGCCGCTGTTTGAAGAGGAGAGCCAGCGCGGCCTCGCCCTGCAACGGGCCATGGACGCGCTATGGGAGGCGGTTGATCGTTCCGACAAGCGGCTGAGAGCTCTCATGCGTGCCGCCGTTGCCGGGCGTCTGCAGGACGAGCCGGTCCACTCGGCATTGCTCGAACAACTCAAGGCGCCGCCCTTGAACCTGCCCTGTGAGAAGGCCACCGCCCTGCTCCAGGAATTGTTTGGCTGGTTGACCGCCGAGGCCCCGGCCATTACCGGCCTTGTCGAAACCCTTGAGCGCACGCAGATCCACGAGTGCTTGGCGCATAACGCCGATCTTTCCCTGTCTCGTCCGGCCTACCTGCAGAACGCCGGTACCGTTGACCATCTGATGCGGCTCCTCAGCCGCAGCTTGCGGCCCACCGTGCTGCGCCACGGCGAACTGCTCGCTCCCATGGAAGCCACGATTTACCACTACCCGGAGCCCGGTGCCCCGCCGTTCGTGGAAGTCGGCGCTGAAGTCAAGGTGGGGCAGACGCTGGCCCTGCTGGAAGCGATGAAGATGTTTACCGATCTGCCCAGCCCGGTGGACGGCGTGGTGATGGAGGTACGGGTCGAAAACGGCCAAGGGGGTGAAGACGGGCACGCCGTTGTTCCGAATCGCCACCCACGACGCCGTGGCCGAGACCTCGGATGACCACGTTCAAGGGGTGCTCGAAGCGCCGTGGTGCAATCGATTCGGCTTGCTGGTGCCCGGCGAAGCGGCGGGGGCGTGACGGACGGCCTCAGTCGGACGTGTCGGAAGCGATGGGGGTCATCTCGCCGTGCGGTTCGGGAAGGGTGATTTCGAGGCGTTCGATGCGCAAGTGGTCCATGGCGGTGACGTGGAAGGTGACGCCATCGACTCGCACGTATTCGCCCACCGTGGGGATGTGCTCCAAGGCTGAGAGAACCAAGCCGGCGACGGTGACGTAATCGTCATCGGGCAGGTCCAGGTTGTAGCGTTCGTTGAGTTTCTCGATGGCCAGGTCGCCCGGCACGCTGAGGTGCCCCTCCGGTGTCGCCTGCATGTTCTCGCTGGCGTCGTCATGCTCGTCAAATATCTCCCCGACTATCTCCTCGATAAGGTCTTCAAGGGTAATCAGCCCCAGGGTTCCGCCGTATTCGTCGACGACGATGGCCATGTGCGCGTTGCGTTGTTGCAGGACACGCATCAGCTCGTCCACACGCGCCGTGGGGGGGATGAAGTACGGCTTGCGCATGATGGCGTCGAGGCTGAAAGGCCCGTCGTCGTTGGGGAAGGCCAAGAGGTCCTTGGCGAGTACAACCCCAACGATGTGGTCGAGCGCGTCGTCGTAGACCGGCAGCCGCGAGTTGCCGCTGCGGCGCACGACCTCGATCACCTTTTCCAGCGGCCAGGAGCGCTCCACGGCCCAGATATCGGTTCGCGGCGTCATGGCCTGCCGTACGCTGGTGTGCGACATGTCAAAAACGCTGGCGATCATACGGGCGTCCGACTCCTCCACCAGACCGTGCCGGCGGCTTTCCGAAAGCAACAGCAGCAGTTCTTCGGGTGCGTGTACGCGTTCCACGTGACTTGGCGGACGCACTGAGAAGAGTCGCAGGAAGACGCTGGCGCTCTGGTTCAGGAGCCAGATCGCCGGCCAGAAGGCGTACGTGAACAGCGTCAACGGACGCACGACCCAGCGGCTGATTTGCTCCGGGTGGAGCAGCGCCAGGGATTTAGGGGCGAGCTCGCCCAGGACGATGTGCAGAAAGGTGATGCAGGCGAAGGCCGCCGTTCCCGCCACCGCGTGTGACGCCAAGCCGGCGAAAGGGGAGGGTAGGGCATGAAAGGCGTGCATGAGCAGGGTGGCGAGGGTTGCCTTGCCGATCCAGCCCAGCGACAAAGAGGCGAGGGTGATGCCTAGTTGGGTGGCGGAAATGTAGTCGTCGAGGTGCTGCAAGGCTTTCAGAGCGGCGCGCGCCTTGCCGTCCCCGGCCTCGGCGAGGGTTTGCAGGCGGGTGGCGCGGGCTCCGACGAGGGCAAATTCCGCTGCTACGAAGAAAGCATTCAGCCCGACAAGTGCCAGAATCGCCCAGATGCGAAACAAGACGTCCATGGAGGCCCTTGTATGCAAGGGTATCGAACGAGTCCCTACTTACCGAGGCTCGCCCTGCGCCATCGTTCTGGGTGCATTGGTGTCATTATAGCAGCGGGTTCCGGTCAGGAACAAGTGTGCTACAATCAGCCGCCGTCATCTTCCGACCTTTATTTGAGCCTGTCGTGCACGCTCCGGAGCCAATCTCATGGATGGAACCCCAACGGTCCAGCCGCGGGAAGTGATACCCCATCGCGCCCTGCCGGTGGAGGCGACCCGCCGCCTGCTGCGCCGTGAGGCATACTCCAATCTGGTGCGATTGCTCGCCAAGCTGCACGGCAGCGAGTGCGCCGAAATTCTCCATAACATGACGCTCAGCGAGCAGAGCAAATTGCTGGAGCGCCTGCCCGATATGGCCCTTGCCACCACCATGTTCACCTACCTCGACGAGGAGACGCGCGCCGCTCTGGTGCCGCATCTGTCTACCGCTCGCCTTGTGGCGATGGTCAAGCTCTTGCCGCCGGACGACGCCACCGACATCCTCGGCGAGATGCCCCCGGAACGCTTGACGGAAATGCTGCATCATCTGCCCGAAGCGCTGGCTGCCCAGATCGACCGTCTGCTGTCGTATGATCCGCGCACGGCCGGTGGCCTCATGACCACGCAGTACTTTTCGCTGGAGGACACGTGCACGGTCTCCGAGGCCCTGCAGCATCTCCGCAGGGCGGGGCAGGCCGAGACGGTGTTTTATGTCTACGTGGTGGATAGCGAGCACCGCCTGGCCGGCGTCGTGTCGCTGCGGCAACTGGTGATGGCTGACCCCGAGAGCCGGCTGCGCGACCTCATGGAGAGCGAGGTGATTCGCGTTAGCCTGGACGAGCCGCAGGAGGACATCGCGCGCCTGATCACCCGGTTCGATTTCCTTGCCCTGCCGGTCGTCGACGGCCAGGGCCGCATGATGGGCATCGTAACGGTTGATGACATCATCGACGTCATTGGCGAGGAGGCGACGGAGGACATCCTGCGCCTCGCCGGTGTTCACCCGGACGAGATGCTCGACAGTTCTTCCCGACGCACCATTCGACACCGCCTGCCGTGGTTGTTCGTGAGCTGGCTCGGCGGCCTGCTCGCCTCATACATCATCAACGCCTACGAAGTCACCCTGCAGAGCCTGGTCGTGCTGGCGGTGTTTTTCCCCGTAATCATCGGCATGGGCGGCAACGCTGCCACGCAATCGCTGGCTGTGGCCGTCCGCGGCTTGGCCACCGGCGCCATTGATCCGAGCAGGTTTCTCCACGCCTTGTTGCGAGAAAGCCGCGTCGGGTTATCGTTGGGGGTGATTTATGGTGTGTTGCTGGGGGCGGTGGCGTTCATCTGGCAGGGCACCCCGATGCTGGGGCTGGTGGTGGGCTCGGCGATCTGCGCCTCGATGACGGTCGCCGCCGTGCTGGGCGGTCTGCTGCCGTTGGCTTTCGCTCGTATTGGCGTCGATCCGGCCGTGGCGAGCGGGCCGTTTCTCACCACCGCCATTGATATCATCGGTTTGGTCATGTACCTGTTTGCCGCCCAGTTTTTCTTGCTTGATTGAAGAAAAGAAAAAAGCCCTGCTGAGGCGGCGTTCGTACCGCACGAGCAGGGCTTTGTATCGTCGCAGGTTTAGTGAAGGGCGCGCGTGGCGTGCGGCCAACGTTCGGCGATGGCTTCCTGTTGCATCGTCGTCAGCCGGGTCCATTGCGCTTGCCGGGCTGCATCGGGATTAATGTCGAGGAGCCCGCACAGGACCGCGAAATCCTGTTGGTGAAAGACAAAGGTGGCAGCTTCCCAGAAGCTGTCGTCCAGGCTGTGCTCCAGGTCGTGTTGGGCGGTACGCAGGACGGCGCCAAGCAGTTGCGCGCAGGCATCGTAAGGAACCGCCTCGCTGGGTACCGAACGGTAGGCCGTGCAGCTTGTGCAACTCAACCCCATCCAGCCTTGATCGGCAGCGGTGCCCAGACAGGTACTGTAGTGGACGCAGGTGTACTGGGCGTGTCCAACACTGCTGGCTTCTGGCTGAGGATTCGGTGTCGGGGTAGCTTCGATGGAGTCGAGACTGACGGCGGCGGGTGTGGGAAACGATGACAGGGATTGTCCGTGCATCCCTTGCAACTCCTTAATTTAGCAGCGTTCTATTATCCTGCATGACAGGAGACGACTGCTTTCATAATGTGGATAAAGGTGTGTACAAGTGTCTTGCAAAGATAGCACACCATGCGGCTATCGGCAACGATTTTCGCTCAGGGTAGCGGCGAGCGCGTCCGCATACGCCTCGTATGTTCGGTCGTCGAAAAGGACGAATCGGACCATATCCGGCCGGCCATGCAGCCGCAGATAGGTGGCCACGGTGTGCAATGCGATGCGGGCGGCTTGTTGCAATGGGTAGGCATAGGCGCCGGTTGAAAGCGAAGGGAAGGCGATGCTGGCGCATTGCTGGGCGCCGGCGACTTCGAGACTGCGCCGGTACGCGCTTGCCAGCAAGGATTTCTCCTGATTCTGCCCGCCTTCCCAAACTGGTCCTACGGTATGAATGACGCATCGTGCCGGCAACTTGCCGGATCCGGTGACGACCGCGTCGCCCGTTGGACAGCCTTGCGGATAGTGTCGCCGTGTCTCTTCCATGATGCTGGGACCGCCGCCGCGGTGGATGGCGCCGTCCACACCCCCACCTCCGGCGAGCCGACTGTTGGCTGCGTTGACGATGGCATCGGTCGCCTGACGGATAATGTCGCCGGTGACCAGTTCCAATTTGCATGCGCCGATGGTTGCCTGCATCGTTCCGCTCCTCCTGGGTCTGTGGACCGCCCTTTTCCTTGTTCCAACCATTTTATCTATCGTAGAATGCCGCCCTTGAGAATGCGAGCGCAGCGTGTTGAATGCCCACCCCAGGAGAAGATGATTCATGCCCTTTCAGGATGTCCCCGCCAAAGTTGATGACTACGCCAAGCAGGAACACGAGGTGCTGCAGTTGTGGAAGGATACCGACGCCTTCCAAACCCTGCGCACCTTGCATGCCGGGCAGCCGAAATGGTCCTTTCTGGACGGGCCGGTGACGGCCAACAACCCGCTCGGCGTGCATCACGGATGGGGGCGGACGTACAAGGACGTGTTCAACCGTTTCTGGACCATGCGCGGCCGGGAACTGCGCTACCAGAACGGCTTCGATTGCCAGGGGCTATGGGTCGAGGTGGAGGTGGAGAAGGAACTGGGCTTCCGGTCCAAGCGCGACATCGAAACCTACGGCCTGGACGCCTTCGTTCGTAAATGCAAGGAGCGGGTGTTGCGGTTTGCCGCCGTGCAGACGGAACAATCGATCCGGCTGGGCTATTGGATGGACTGGAACGACCCGGACCGCCTGCGCCAGTTGGCGACCGCCCTCATGGAAAATCCCTCGCAGCGTATGACCGTGCAAGGCCCTCGCGGCGAGGTGACGGACACTGCGGAGCAATTGGTGGGGCGCCTCGGCATGCCGGACCTCGGCGGCAGTTACTTCACGTTCTCGAACGAGAACAACTACATGATCTGGACCTTTCTCAAGCAGTGTTGGCAGCGCGGCTGGCTATACCGCGGTGCCGACGTGATGCCGTGGTGCTCGCGCTGCGCCACCGGCATCAGCCAGCACGAGATCGTCACCGACGGGTACCAGGAACTCACCCACACCTCCATCACCCTGCGCCTGCCGCTGCGCGGGCGGGAACGGGAATCCCTGCTGGTGTGGACCACAACGCCTTGGACGCTGCCCAGCAACGTGGTGGCCGCGGTCGGCCCGAAACTCACCTATGTCAAGGTCAGGCAGGGCGACGAGGTGTTCTATCTGTCCAAGGGTACCCTGCACATGCTGCGCGGGGCGTACGAAGTCCTGGGCGAGATGCCGGGCTCGGTGCTTGAAGGCTGGACGTATGACGGCCCTTTTGACCACCTGGAGGCGGCCCGCCGGCCTGGTGGCAACGGCGCCCTGCGGGACCTCGCGCAAGACGTGTCGGTGTGCGCCGCCGAGGCGCACCGCGTCGTGTTGTGGGACGAGGTGAGCGAGACCGAAGGCACCGGCATCGTGCACATTGCCCCCGGCTGCGGCGCCGAGGACTTCCGGCTGGGCAAGGAGCACAACCTGCCGATTCTGGCCCCCCTCGATGAGGAAGGATACGTCCTGGCCGGTTTCGGCGATTTCAGCGGCCAGCACGTCTCGGCGCTTCTGGACGGCATCCGGCAGACGCTCACCGACTCGGGGCGCCTGTACCACGTCGAGCCGTACACGCACCGTTACCCGACCTGCTGGCGCTGCGCCACCGAGTTGGTCTTTCGCCTGGTGGACGAGTGGTTCATCAGCATGGACGAATTGCGCCACGCCATGATGGAGGTGACGAAGCAGATCCGCTGGATACCCGCCTTCGGCCTGGACCGCGAACTCGACTGGCTGCGCAACATGCACGACTGGATGATCAGCAAGAAACGCTACTGGGGCTTGGCGTTGCCATTCTGGGAATGCGCCGCCTGCGGCCATTACGAGGTGATTGGCGATGACCGGGAACTCGCGGCGCGGGCGGTGGCGGGTTGGGAGGACTTCGAGGGGCATACTCCCCATCGGCCCTACATCGATGCGGTCCAGATCGCCTGTTCCAAGTGCGGCGGCCGGATGCAGCGCATCGCCGACGTGGCGAACCCGTGGCTGGATGCCGGCATCGTCAGCTTCAGCACCCTGGGATACCGAACCGAGCGCGAGGCGTGGCGCGATTGGTACCCGGCGCACTGGATCAGCGAGTCGTTTCCCCGGCCAGTTCCGCAACTGGTTCTACAGCCTGCTGGCCATGGGCACGGTGCTGGAGAACAGCCCGCCGTTCAAGGAGTGTTTCGGCTACGCTACGCTGATTGCCGAAGACGGGCGGGCCATGCACAAGAGCTGGGGCAACGCCATCGAGTTCAACGAGGCCGCCGACCACATGGGCGTCGACGTCATGCGTTGGCTGTACTGCGCGCACAAGCCCGAGAACAACCTGCCGTTCGGCTACCAGCGGGCCGATGAGGTGCGCCGGCAGTTCCTCATCCCGCTGTGGAACATGTACAGCTTCTTCGTCACCTACGCGAATCTCGACGGCTGGGCACCCGATCGGGAGGGATTCGAGCCGGGGTGCCCGGAGGGACCGACGCCGCACAGCGACAACATTCTGGATACGTGGATTGTGGCGCGCCTCAACCAGCTCACAGAGCGCTGCACGGCAAGCCTGCAGGATTCGGACACGCACGCCGCCACCCTGGTCATCGCGGCGTTTCTGGACGACCTGAGCAACTGGTACATCCGCCGTAGCCGCCGGCGCTATTGGAAAAGCACGCACGACACGGACAAGCATACGGCCTACGCCACGCTCTACCACGTGCTGGTGAAGCTGATCAAGCTTTTGGCGCCGTTGACGCCGTTCGTTACTGAGGTGATGTACCAGAACCTGGTGCGCGCCATGCAGCCGGCGGCTTACGACAGCGTGCATCACTGCGACTGGCCGGAGGCGGACATGGCCGTCGTGGACACCACGTTGCTGGACCAAATGACCCTGGCCCGGCAGATCACCAGCCTGGGGCTGGGGTCCCGAGGCAGCGCCAACATCAAGGTGCGCCAGCCCCTGTCGGCGGCGCTGGCTTATGTGCACGAGGGCGAGACCGTGTGGAGCGAGACGTACACGGCGATTGTGTGCGAGGAGTTGAACGTCAAGTCGCTGCAATTCGTTGAGCAGGAGGCGCAGTTGCTGAGCTACGAGGTGCTTCCCAACAACAAGCTGCTCGGTCCGCGATTGGGAGCCACCCTGGGCCGTGTGCGCGCGGCGCTGACCCATACCGACGCGGGCGCGGTGGTGCAGCAAGTACAGTCCGGCAATCCCGTGGCGCTGAGCATCGACGGCGAGACGTTCGAGCTTGCCCCCGACGAGGTGCTCATCCGCACCCACCCCGCCGCCGGGCTGGCGATCGCCACCGACCGCGGCGTCACCGTTGCCGTGGAAACCGACATCACCCCGGAACTGCGCACCGAGGGTCTGGCCCGCGAGCTGGTTCGCCGTATCCAGGTCATGCGCCGTGACGCCGGTTCAACATCGCCGACCGCATCGTCACCTACGGCCTCTGCGACGGGCCGCTGGCTGACGCCCTGCTCACCTGGAGCGATTACGTCAAGGCCGAAACCCTCAGCATCGACCTCGTTGCCAGCGTGCCCCCGCCCGAAGCATACAGCGAAGAGCACCGCATCGACGGCATGACCATCACACTGGGTGTGCAGCGACAAGTGGTTCCAGTGTAACCGCGGCAGGGGCGTTGCTGCTTGACACGAAGTCTTTTGTCAGTGGGAGGAAAATCATCATGCCAATGGATAAATCTTGGCCTCTGGAGGCTCCGTACCTCCACGCATTCTTTGCCGCGGACCCCGTTGCGGCGGACCACGCCTTCTTTGGACGAACGTCGTACGCCGACCGGCGCGGTTTTCTGCGGGGCGCCGGGCTTGCCGCCATGGCGGCGATGGTGGGCGCAGCGATCCCGTTCCACCGCAACATGCCGGTGGGCTTCATTCCGGCTGTATTCGCCGATGAGGCGGTGCTGGTCGGGAAGGACGGATTGACGCTGCTGAACGACCGGCCGCTCAACGCCGAAACCCCGCCGCATCTGCTGGATGATCCCATCACTCCGACCCCCCGCCATTTCATTCGCAACAACGGCATCCCGCCATCCGAAGCAGACCCGGACACCTGGACGCTCACCATCGACGGACTCGTCGACCGCCCCATGACCCTGTCGATCGCTGATCTTCAATCGAGGTTCGAAGTCGTCACGCTGGCCCTTGCCATTGAATGCGGGGGCAACGGACGGGCCTTCTTCGAACCGCCAGCAAGGGGCAACCAGTGGACCTATGGCGCGGTGGCCTGTTCGGAGTGGACCGGGGTGCGGCTCAAGGACGTGCTGGGGGCGGCTGGCGTGCAGCCCAACGTTGTCTATACCGCCCACGTCGGTGCCGATGGGCATCTCTCCGGGCAGCCGGACAAGCTTCCCATCTCGCGCGGCGTACCGATTGCCAAGGCGATGACGGACAACGTGCTCATCGCCTTTGGCCAAAATGGCGGCCCGATTCATCCGATGAACGGAGCGCCGCTGCGGCTCGTCGTTCCCGGCTGGCCGGGATCGTGCTCGCAGAAATGGCTCCGGCGCATCTCCCTCCGCGATGTCGTGCACGATGGCGCCAAGATGACCGGCACCTCGTACCGCGTGCCGAGCTACAAGATCGAGCCGGGTGAGAAAGTCGATAAAACAGAGTTCGTCATCATTGAGCGGATGCCCGTCAAATCCCTTATTACCCATCCCGCGAACGGGGTGGCGGTGGGGCGTGCCGTTGAGGTGCGCGGCCATGCCTGGTCGGGCGACCGAATGGTCGCCGCGGTCGATGTTTCCTACGACTTTGGCGCCACCTGGATACCAGCCGCGCTAGACGCCCCCGCAAACGATGGCGCTTGGCAGAACTTTCGCGCCAACGTGGTGCTGCCCGCAGCCGGGTACTACGAAATCTGGGCGCGGGCGACCGACAGCGCCGGGATGATGCAGCCCCACGCCATCGACTGGAATCCCAAGGGATACCTCAACAACACGATGCACCGGGTTGCCCTTCGGGTATCGTGAGCCGGCGTGGCGGGTTGATGAAGACGCAACGGCCGCGGCGTGCCCTGGTCCGAACGACCAGGTTGAGACGGGGCGCCGCACGGACTGTCGGGCGCGTTTTTGTCGATGTGATTGCCGTTCTCGTCGTTGCGGTCTGCGTGGCTGCCGGCGAGGATTCGGAAGAGGCGGGAACCGTGACGGCAAGCCAATCGGAATCGCCTAATTTCGGTATCCTCGTGGCGGGTGACGGTGCGGCAGAGACCTATGCCTATTGCATCGTCTGCCACTCAGAACGCCTTGTTGCCCAGCAGGGCCTGACCCGGCAAGATTGGGAGGAGGTCATTGAGCTTATGGTGGAAGAGCACGGGATGGCCCCACTTGCAGGTCCCACCCTCGACCGGGTGCTTGGCTATCTTTCGACTCATTACGGTCCCGACCGCCCGAATTTTCCGCTGCAATAGGCGAGTTGGACGGAGGACCGGAACCGTCATGACATGAACGCCGACTGAGAAAGGAACCCACAAATGGAAGGGCGCCGCCGCCGAGAATATTGCTGGATCTGCCGACGGGGAACCGTTCACATCTTCACCCACACCTTGCAAGAAGACGTCGCCACCGGTGAGTACGCCCTGTGCGAAGTGTGCCAACCTCTCGACCCTATCGCCTGCCATTTCCAGGAGCGCTTCTGGCGCCTCCTCGGCTGCCCGCCGGGTTACTGGACGTTCATCGGCTGTTTCTCTGCCGCTTGGAAACAGTGTTACCCCAGTGAGCGTTACGACTCCCCCACCGACGTCGATCAGCAAGACGTCATCCACCGATTCGACGCGCTCGAACTCGACATCGAGGACCTGAAACAAGGCACCAAAACCCAGGGACGCGAGTGGCCCTATTGGACGCACGACTTCCCCGATTAGAGCCCTTTTGCATCAAGTGTAGGTCGGATTAGCGAAGCGTAATCCGACATTCCACTGCGCTATCCCGCCACGATCATCCGGGCAGGAGTGGACTGAGTACCAGCGCAGCGGACAGGAGCAGGCCGAAACGCAGGTGGAGTTGGGCGGTACCGCGCAGAGCCTGGTGCAGGTCGGGGCGTTCCGTGCTCCTGCCAGACCCCGCGAGCGACGGCAACGGCTTGGGGTAGGATAAGGAGCGGGGCGAGCCAGGGCCAGGAGCCGAGGCGGGCGAATACCAGCACGGCGATGCTGGCGAAGGCGATCAGGAGTAGGGCGCAATAAAGCAGGGCGACAGGCTGCCGGCCCCACAGGTGCACGAGGGTGTCTTGCCGCTGAGGCGGTCTCGTTGGCGTCGCGGAGGTTGTTGGCGATGAGAATAGCCGTCACCAGACAGGCGACTGGCAGGGATAGCCAGACTGGCAGGCCAAGTCAGGGTTTGGGTCTGGACGTAAAAACTGCCGAGAACCATGACCGGCCCCATGAAGACGAAGACCAGGGGTTCTCCCAAGGCCACGTTACCCAAGGGGAGGGGTCCGGCGCTGTAGCAGTAGGCAACGCCGACGCTGGCCAGACACACGACGGCCAGCGGCCAGCCGGTTTGGGTCACGAGATACACGCCAATCAGCGCCGCGAGGCCGAAGCAGGTCAGCGCGCCCCGCAGAACGGCGGCGGGCGTCAGCAGGCCATGGGCGATCACCTTGTACGGCGCTTGCACCTTGTGTTGGGCGGTGTCGGCGTCATGATCGGCGTATTCGTCGGTGAGGTTGGTGCCGCACTGCACGAGAACCGATCCGATCAGCACCAGGATGAATAGAAAAGGGTGGAAAACACCGGACTGGGCGGCCAATAGGCTGCCGACCAGCACCGGAACCACCGCGGCGCTGAGGGTGAAAGGCCGGATGGCCTGAAACCAGACGTGCATCGATTCCCGCATATGTGTTCCCTACCGCCTACCAAGGGGTTCGACGATATTTCGCAAAATCCGGTTGGCGTTTTTCGAGGAACGCCGTGCGCCCCTCGGTGGCCTCGTCGCTGGTGTAGAAGAGGCTGGTGGCGCCGTGCGCCAGGGCTTGCAAGCCGTAGCCGTGGTCGGTGTCGGCGTTGAAGCCGGCCTTCATGAAGCGGATTGCCGTCGGGCTCTTCGCCAAGATTTTGCGGCACCAGAGAGCCGTCTCTTCATCCAACTGTTCGCGCGGCACGACCTTGTTGACCAAGCCCATGTCCCGTGCCTCCTCGGCGCTGTATTGGTCGCACAGGTACCAGATTTCGCGCGCCTTCTTCTCGCCCACGATGCGTGCCAGGTACATGGCGCCGAAACCCGCGTCGAAACTGCCCACCTTCGGTCCCGTCTGGCCGAAAATGGCGCGGTCCGAGGCGATGGTAAGGTCGCAGATGACGTGCAGGACGTGCCCGCCGCCGATTGAATAGCCGTCCACCTTGGCGATGACCGGCTTGGGAATTTCGCGGATCGTGCGGTGCAGGTTGCGGACTTGTAGGCGCGGCGTTCCCGACTCGTCGTTATAGCCGCCCTGGCCGCGGATTTTCTGGTCGCCGCCGGTGCAGAAATTGCTTTTCTCGCCGGTCAGCACCACCACGCCGATGCCGTCGTCGTACCAGGCGTCGTGAAACGCCTCCAGCATCTCGTCGATTGTGCGCGGGCGGAACGCGTTAAGAACCCATGGGCGGTTCATGCTCACGGTCGCCACGCCGTCTGCTTTTGTGTAGATGATGTCCTCGAATTCTGGCATGTCCTACCTCATGTTCATGTGTGTGTTGATGGTGATCAATCGCCTCTGTCCGGTCGGACGGCGCGGTAGATATACACCACGCCGCCCGTAAGGGATCGTGCCTGCACGTCGGTGAAACTCTGCTCCCGCATGGCCTGCTTGAAGCGGGCGCCGGCGGGAAAGACCGCCGCCGTGCGGGGCAGATAAGCATAGGCTTCCGAGTGCCCCGACAGCCAGCCGCCGATGCGCGGCAGCAGATAGCGTGAATAGAATCGAAACAGGGGCCCGAAGACGGCGCCCTGCGGCTGGCCGAATTCCAGCACCACGGCCACCCCGCCGGGACGCAGCACGCGGTACATCTCGCCCAAGGCCGTGGCCAGACAATCGACGTTGCGCAGGCCGAAGGCGACGCTCACCGCATCGAAGGAAGCGTCGCGGAAGGGCAGGCGCTGCGCGTCGGCAAGGGCAAAGGCGATGGGTGCCCGGTGTCGGGCGGCCTTGTGCCGGCCCCGCACCAGCATGGCGTCGCAAAAATCGGTGGCAACGACCCGTCCATCCCGCCCGGTGCGCCGAGCAAAGGCCAGCGCGAGGTCTGCGGTGCCGCTGCACAGGTCCAGAACGGCCGCGCCATGCCGCAAGCCGCTCGCCGTCACCGTCCGGCGCCGCCAGTAATGATGCAGCCCCAGGCTCAACACGCTGTTGAGCCGGTCGTATCGCCCGGCGATGGCGGCGAACATGTCCTTTACGGTCTGTCCCGTACGCGCCCCCTCCCTGGCCCTCCCCCACGGGAGGGGGGAGGAGATCAGAGCTTGGCCTTCCCCTTGAATAGGGCTCAACTCCCTCTCCCCTGGAGGGAGAGGGTTGGGGTGAGGGGGAAGGTTCCGGATGACGAGCCGTCTTGATCCGAAGTGTTCCTAGCGGCCCGATGCTTGCGACAACGGATATTATTCAGTATATGGAGCGGGTCGGCAATCACCTGTTCGCGCGCAAACACTTAGGAGTAACGCGATGACCTCAGCATGGTGCCTGCGGCTGGCCGCGGTGAGCGGATTCCTCGTGGTCGCCTTGGGCGCTTTCGGTGCCCACGGGCTCAAGGCCATTCTGCAACGGTATGAAACCCTGGAGACGTGGCAGACGGCGGTGTTTTACCATGCGCTTCACACGCTGGTCCTGCTTGCCCTGTCGTCGCATTCCGACGTCAGCAAGGGCGCCGTCATCAGCTTCGTGTTCGGCATCGTCGTATTCAGCGGCAGCCTGTACCTGCTGGCGGTGACCAACGTGCGTTGGCTGGGCGCCGTAACCCCCATCGGCGGCGTGGGATTGCTGGTCGGGTGGGCGTGGCTGTTCATCGCCGCAGGCGCAAAAATGCAGGGATAGGCCCCGCTTGGCGCGCCAATGGGCGTGATATAATCCGCCATCCTGCATTCTCTTTCCTGTTAGGAACCTTCTCTCATGTCCTCATACCGCTTTTGCCGTCCGGACGATCTGGAGTTGATCGTGTGGGCGATCAATCAATGCTGCCGCATCCACGAGACGGACACCCCGGAGATGACCGAGGAGCGGCTGAAGACCCACATGACGCTGTTTGCCGTGCGCCCTGGGAATTGCATGGTGGCGCTCGAACGGCAGCAGCCGGTGGCGGCGGTCATCAGCACGCGGCGCGAGGCGGGTGCGTGGATTCAGACCCTGGGCTGCCAGCCGGCCTTTCAGCGCCGCGGCGTCGCCTCCCAGCTTGTCGAGGCGTTAATTCGCAAAATTGCCATCCAGCGTACCGAAGACATTACGGTAGACGTCCCTGAGGATAACGACGCGGCGCTTAACTTCTTCCAGGCCGTTGGCTTCGAGGAGCGCGGGCGTTTCGTCACCCTGGCGGGCAAGCCGGACAGCCCCGGCGACCTGACTGGAGAAGTCGTCCAGGCGCCGGCGGCGGAGTTGCTGAATGCCTACGAGGCGTTCCATGCTTATCCGGCGTGCTGGGAGCGCAGTGTTGATTCCCTGGCGGGCTATGGCGAGTTGATCCAGGGCTATGCCTATCGTGAAGACGGCGCGGCGCGGGGCTACCTGTTGCACCAGGGCGCAACGATTCTGGACCTCGCCTGCGCGCCCGACGCGGACGCGGCTCAGGTCAGCGCCATCTTGCTGGACCGCCTGGGTGCCCCCGGCGCGTCACCGTTCACCCTTCCCAAGGTGAATGCGGCCGACCCGTTGTTCGACATCCTGCAGCAGCAGGGCCTGCAGCCTGTGCGCAGCTACCGCCTGATGGGGCAGAAGCTGTCGTGAGGCGCTTCAACCGCCCAATTCAAACGAAAGAGTGAGTCATGAATGCAACGACGACACGCCCTGTCATTCTGGAGGACCTGATCGAACGGATTGCGTCCCAGGCATTTGATACCCATATCTTCACGATCTGCACCAACACCGGACGCGCCCTGCAGCGGCCGGTCAAAGACCAGTATCCGCATCTCGTGGCGGTTGGGCGGGTCAGTCGGACGGTCGAGATCGTCGGCATGGTGGAAACCGACGAGAGTCTGCGCGACCTCACTGCCGCCATGCGGCGCTGGCGCGCCCTGGACCACCTGCAAGCCGCCGCCTACCTGTACGTCCCCAAAGGCCGCAGCGCCGACGCGCGCACGCTGTGCCTGCGCGAGACCATTCGCATTTCCGATTTCCGGCATTATTGGTTCGACGGCGAGACGCTATGCCTCGAGCGCTGCTTCGCTTGATGCGTAGGCTGGGGTTTCCGGGAAGTCACACGTGATCCACTGCGTGCCTTCCAGAGCCAGTTGCAGCAGGGCAGGGGTGTCCAGCGCCTGCTCGGCCGCTTCAATGTCCGGCAGGGTCGTACGGGTGGCGGGGCGGCGCGGCACGAACAGCGTGCAGCAATCCTGGTCGGGGAGGATCGAGGTGGCATAGGTCCCGATGGCTTCCGCCTGTTCCATGATCTCGGCCTTGTCCATACCGATGAGGGGACGCAGCACCGGCAAGGTGCTGACGGCCTCGATGACGCTCAGGTTGCTGAGGGTCTGTGACGCCACCTGACCCAGTGATTCGCCGGTCACCAACGCCTGGGCGCCAAGCTGCTGAGCCAGAGCGTCGGCAATCCGCAGCATGTATCGCCGGTAGAGGACGACGCGGTACGGTGCCGGCACGGCGCTCACGATGCGTTGCTGCACCTCGCCGAACGGCACCATGCACAATTTCGTATGGTACTGATGCTGGGTCAGCAGGCGCGCCAGAGTCTGGGCCTTGCGCTGCGAGGCGCGGTCCAGGAACGGGTAGCTGTGAAAGTGGACGACGTGCACCTGGCAGCCCCGCTTCATCATCCGGTAAGCGGCCACCGGCGAGTCCAGCCCTCCCGACAGTAGCCCCAGCAGCGTGCCGCCCGTGCCGACGGGCAAGCCGCCCGCCCCAGCCGTTTTTTCCACGTAAATCAATGTCTGCCGCGGGATTACCTCGACGTGCACAACCAACTCCGGGTTCTTCAAGTCCACCTTCGTGGCGTGGGACTCCAGCACGTGGGTACCAAGGATGCGGCTGATCTCCTGCGATCCCCACGGCAACTCCTTGAACGCCCGCCGCGCCGTGATGCGGAAGCTGGCGAAACTGCGGCCATGCAGGGCGCGGCTCACCGCCTGCTTGACGGCTTCGAGGTCGTGCGGCGCCGTCCAGCAACGTGAGAAATTGGCCACGCCGAAGACCTGCTGCAGGCGCTCCTCAAGCTCCCCCCAGGGAACGCTTTCGGGCGCGGTCAGCAACAGCCGTCCCGATTGCTGCTCCACGGAGCCCTCGCCCAGCGAACTGAGCGCCCGCTCCAGGTTGCGCATCAGGGCGTGCAGAAAGACCGGCCGGTTCCTGCCCTTGAGGCCCAACTCGCCGTAGTGGACAACGATGTGGCGTCTCGGATCCTGCGTAGTTCGGTCCGCGGGTACCATCGGCTCTGAATGTCCTCTGGCGGTGTCTGCTACCATTCGAAGAATACGGTTAGCCATTTCAACCTTTATTCTTGTCATATGCACACTGATTGGAGGCTCATAACGCTTCCGAGCCGCAAGCCGCTCAAAACGAGATGCCGGAAACAAACTCACCCATATTCTGAGCGTTCTGGAACTGACAGAGTAGACTGGCAACGGCGTCAAAGCATACCGCCGCAGAAGGCTGGACCTTACCAACTCTTGCGAGAGGAAGCGACGCTTCCAAACGGCACTAAGGACGGGAAATATGCCCGCGGGCAATGAAACCCGCGGGGTATGTCCCGGAGGGGCGGCTGGCAGGTTCTGATAAGCCCAGCCTATGTAAACTGAAACAACCAGGGCGTTGGATACACCCACTCAAAATCATAGGGCAGCCTGGCAAATCGGCTGTATCCGAACACCTTACGCTTGGGCCTCAGGGGCCATGGCATCCTTCAGTCTCGGATGTCGGAGGAGTGCGCAGGGCGAATAGAGGGCATGTCGGGTATCCCATGTCGATTTCGTCGCACACATCGGTGCAGCATGCGCCCAAAAGGATTGATGTTCCGGCCGGCAGCCC